GGCTTGCGTTGAATGTGCGGAAGTGACTGCAGTGTTACATATTCAGAGCTCTTTAGCTGAGGTGAAGGCTGCTGTTTTGGTTTCTTAGTGCTCCTGTGTGGGCAAAGCAAAATGCAATTTTGCAACGTTTTCTTCATTAAAAAGAAAAAAAAGTCGAGTTTCCCCACCTGTTCTAGACTCTGACACGCTATTTCAAATGAACAGCTTCCCCATTCAGCACATCCCCTCATATTTAAAATTCTTAAATGCCTCAAATACTCCACGTTGTGCTGCCTTGAATACAAATTAATTTTTAAAAATTCCCCATTGTAATGTTTTGCACTGAAACCCATAAATTTTAGTGTCAAAGTGCGCATGTTTTTCTCTTTTAGAGCCTTGGGGCATTATTCATATGGTAAAAAGATTTCTCAAATAAGTTAGAATCCCAGTTGAGGCATCTGCAAACACACAAAAATCACTCAATCCCAGGATGTGGAAAACTGTGCCCGCCCTTGAAAGTGGGCATCACCTTGAACCAGCTCCCACAGAGCCCTGAAACAGATTACCCAGCCCATTCACACAGGGAATACAAGGTAACAATTCCCACACATGGTTCCATTAGGATTCCTCATGAAGAAGCCCTTGTACATATGTGTAAATACACACATTTATATCCATGCAAAGGTAAGTAACAAATAATAGCTCAACATTGATAATTCAAGTCCATACTTCAGTGATTTGTCAAGCAAAGGAAGGGGGACCTGGGGTTTTGATCCACCAACTCCCGTCAGTCGCTGATGGAAAGTTGTTTTGGGAGCATAAATTCTCTGGCACTTGAAGACTGTCCTATAAATACGCCAGCTGAGCGGACTGGCTGCCATGGCCAGAAAAAGCCTTTGGGGAAAGAGATATAGTGACTTGCAGGTGGACGCCATTGGGTCTAATAGCATGGAAATAGTGAGAGCTCAGGGACTATGGGGAAGCCAACACTGTGTGCTTCAGGAGCCAACTGCTCCAGGCTGACATCTGCCCAGCTTCAAGTCCAATGGATGAAAGAAGACTCTTCCGTTCTAATAACTCTATTATTCTGATAAAAGTTCTGGAATATAAATCTTAAAGCCTCTGGTAAGTTCCAGTGCAATGCAGTGGTTGATCAAGCCTGGGTCATGTGACAAATAATATGAAGAAATAAGAAAAGCAGGAGGAGTGACTCCTCTTAGGAACTCAGGTATTAGTATATCAGGAATAGGGAAGAATGGATGCAATGCAAAAAAGGATAAACTCAAGAAAAAGTGATTCACTGACGTCATAAATATGGAAATGCACATACAGTCTTCTCATTGTCATTCAGTCATGGATGTGAAGTCACTTGGGACACAAGACTGTGTTTGAATTTCTACAATGCCAGTGGTGGAGGTCATAATTTTATCTAACCCCTACGTGACATGATTTCATTTTTGCTCTGAGTTTTGGTTGTATGGGTTGCAAAAAAGAAATTCAAATACAGGGGATCCAAGAAATAAACCACTGAGGCAAACCCCAGCCTTGTTATTCTTTCATACCACAAAAGGGGAGAGGAGTTTTAGGAAATAATTGAGTTAGTCAATAAGCAACTTAAAATGGTCTGTATATAACACTATCTACTTTATGTTTTACAATATAAAGGCCAAAGCAATTACAGATTTGATCCCCTAAAAAAATAAAAATTAGGGGAGAGGCCTACAACCAATGACTGTTAGCACTGAAAGACATCTTGACCAGCATAATATTTTATCAGTTCCATATCTGATCAAAGAATGGGCTACTTCATTTAAAGTTCTTTGTGAGACTTATATAATTATAACTTAAAAGATATGTAAATTGTGTATGTGCATACTAGAGAAAAACTGTATTTTTCTCATACTAAGAAAGAATCTCCCTTCCAATAGTTCTGGTAAAAGTATTGATACTCAGAAGCTCTGATTAATTCAAATGTTTACTTCTAAACCAACCAGAGTGGCCACAGGCCAAGTGCTCCTTTGCAAGCAGAGACCTCTAACTTCCAGGCCACTGAGAGAAACTTCAGTCAAGTCAGAAACATCAGGATGAACTTGTACTAATATTCCCAGGCCTGCTTTGGTATATATTTGCCTGATTTTGCTTATATATGGAGGTGGTGGAGTTAAAAATTCTGTTTAACCTGGAAAAATTTGCATTTGTCCTCTTTCACGTATCACTGTACGGTACCTGGTACTTCCCAATTAAGACAGCATTAATCTGTGAGATCTTGTGCTGCTGTGTGAGATACTCACATATACCTCGCATGTGGATTTCACGTGGGAACACTGGATTTGAGAGTCCTATCATATTATGTGAGATCTGCATTGAAGCTAACCAAAGCTGAGATCTATTTGTGTATTCTGAATTTTAATATGCAGGAAACAGCAGGCTGTCTACCCATATAAATTGGCTTTAAAAACCAACCAAGCAGTTAATCTGAAGACAAATAATCTGTTATTTTAATAATTAATTCAACTCCTTAAAAAAGATGGTTAAGAAGCCAGTTACCAAGAGGTTTAAAATGTATTTCATTAGATTCAACTTTAAATGAAAGTTTAATGTTTAGATGTAGACAAGTGAGGATATAAATGTCCTAATAATAGGTTTAGATTATTTTGGTAATGAATTCAAAAGGCTATTAGCGATAAGTCTACAGCAATTGGTAAAAGAATAAAGGTCATGGGAAGGTTCAGAAAGGTAGATGCAGAGGCCATTCAGAGAAAATGGAGAGAGAACAACATGGAAATGAAATGGTTAAGATACAACATTTCCTTGTTTTTGTATCAACTTCATTTATTTTTTACTATGATTAGAGCATCCTGAAGCATTAAAAAGAATTTCACAAAACAAATTCCTCAGTGGACTTTGAGTGAGAGAATTCTTTTGTTAAAAATGTTTAAACTAAAATAGACAGAGAATACTAATCCCAGACAGAAGGAATTCACAAAGTCTAGGTTCTAGATTCAGTTCTGGTCTTCTATAGATAACTCTGGATAAGTCTTAACCTCACTGCATCCCAGCTTCTTTCAAAAATGAAGGTGATGAACTAGCTAATCCTAAATAACCCACTGAGCCTTAAATTATGTAATTCTATACACCACTTTTTTTAAAAGTTAGAATTAGAATTCTAACAGAAATCCTAAATCAGAGATCAGTAGCAATTGTGAATATTGAAATATATTCCTATGAGAAATAAAATCAAGTTGTAAACACAACTGAATATTCTCTCAAGCTAGTTTCATGTTCTCCAAACAGCTGCATAGTGCTACTTGAGTGATGTTACTGAATAGAAATTAAAAGGCAATAACAAACCTTTGTAACAGGCATATTATTTCCTTTGATAAATGTAATGTGTGTTTGGAGGCAAGAAAATAGCATTTCAACTCTTTCTTCCTGATTTCTTCTCCTCCTGTTTTGTTCTTCTAAAGTCTATTGATTTTCCTTTGCCTTTTTAAGGACTCTAAAATAAACAAAATAATGTCTAATTCACATACAGAATCTCCTTTTTACAGCATTGTTTGCCTATGTACTAGTTCCCTAGCGGCAGGTTAGCAGATCAGGGAATAGTATATAACTCCAGGTGCTAAACTGGTTCAGGTACAGAGTAATTTATTAAAGAACCTGTATTCTGTAAAAAATAATCTCTGCTTTTCTTTTATATTCCCGTCTTCATAGCAGTAAGGAAACCTGGGGCCACATTCAGAATGCTTTATATACTCAGAAGAATTAAGTCACTAAAGATGGGAAGATTAACATTTAGTTTTCTGGTTTGTTCATATAAATGTTGATGCCATTTATGAGTTGAAGAATATTAAGAAAGGACCAGGTGTTGGAGGAAAGATGGTGATTTCAGTATGCTGCTGTGCACTGAAGATGCCTTGCAGAAGGCCAAATGGGGATGTTCTGAGAGCACAGAATGTTGAACCTAGAGCTTAGTAAAGAGGTCTGGGCTGGAGCCATCAATGTGGAAACCACTGGCATGTCCTTATGGCTCATTAAAGCAATGGGTCCATGGAAAAGAGTCTCTGAGGAGGAAGTACCATGATACAGATCTCTCCCATGCCTCACCTCATTTATACTCTGCAACAATCTCATGGGTGAGTATTATTCATTTCATTTTACAGATAAGGAAATTGAGGCTCACAATCAAGCAGGTAAGAGCTTCTCTAATAATGAAACATTTCTTTTTTGCTTCATCTTCTACTTTTTCTTAGGTCAAAATGATTAAATGTGGCTGTTCCCTCCTGGGCCTACATCCTAATATTAGAGAATAAAGACTGATGAAAATAGCAGTTGCTGATGGAAATCAGTCAAGGATAAAATTTTGCTTACAATTTCTCAATGAAGACCTGTGTCTGAAGGACATAGTCTGAAGGATCTATGCTATAAGATAATGATTAGATACCAAATTTAAGGGAAGAAAAACTATAAGATATCCTCCTTGAACAATCAGCTGTATTGTGAGAAAAGTTTGATATCTGCATTACTATTTCTCATTCTTATTTGCATCTTGCTACCTCAAGAGTTTAATTTTCTTGCAATCCTTTTTCTATTATTAACTTCACATTTTTATTAGGTTTCTGTCACTGGACTTGCCTGTGGTCAGAATTCCAATGCCAAACATAGTTTTCAATGCCAGCTCAGACTTTGGAATTACTCAGCCAACATGGGTTTTTTTCCTTAGTGACCTGTCTATCTCTTTCTTTCTGTCATGCCAACCTTGACACTGGAAGGCTATAAGCCAGTCACAGACACTTGCACAAGTATTTATTACTGAAATTGCAGGGTGGGATGCTGCAGTCAGCTGAGGTTGAGAAGGTACGAGCTATGCAAGTCAGATAACTGTATAGAAAATACCATAATAACTTGAGGTTTGTGCTAACAAACATTTCTGAGACCTAGACAGTCCCCATGGAAACAGGGCTTTGCTCTTGCAGTTACATCAGAATTCTCTTCAGTAAACAATCAGGAATAGCACTTACTTTCTTTCCTCATTGTCCTTGTGACAACAATGAATCCTCAACTGAAAAGAGAGAATAAAATGAGAGAGATACTATTGATTACTGAATGATAGGGTGCAATGCCTTCTAGAGGACCCTGACAGCAAGGAAGAGGGGCAGCAATGCGAGCTTAAGCCTGAAAAGTTTTTTAAAAACCAGACAACAATGGAAAAGCACATTTCTCCCCAGGCTGGTTGGCAACTTGCTTACAATTATTGCCACAGCTGAATATTTACTGTGTCCCAATATCAAGGCTTTATACTAGACACCAGAGGCAAAGTCTAAATTCTTTATGGCCTGCAGCTTATACATTGGGAAGACGAAGCATGGGGGAGGGGTGGTCTTTAAGAAAATAATGTAAAATCTTGAATACAGAATAAGGTACAGGCATTGAAACAGCCCCAAGCAAAATGAAGGGCCCTAAAGTTTAAGCACCACTGTCTCTTGGTAAATCTATCTCTGATCCTAAAAGTAGAGTAATAAATAAGTAAGCACAGTAATGACCATAAGAGGAGCAAAAGCAGGGACTCTACACTGAGTACTGAGCACCGTGCTAAGCACTGTACATACATTATCTCATTCATTCTCACCATAACCCCATGAATTAGACACCAGTTTTTGTAGATAAGGAAACTGAGGCTCAGTAACTTGCCAGTGGACACAGAGTGGTAAAATTGAACTCAATATCAGAGCTCTAACACTAAGCTCTTAATCACCAAAGTATAAGGTTCTTAAGTCTCAGTAGTTTCATGGCAATGTTAAGGGAGGTTTCTGAGACACTTGGAAAGTTCAGAAAAAGGTTTTTTTTTCTGGAGGATCCAACATTTTAAGAATCTTGTCTTGACCTCGGTACTACTGACATTCTGGGCTGGATAATTCTTTGCTGTAGGGAGCTGTTCTGTGAATTCCAGCATATTTAGCAGTATCCCTGGCCTCCACCCACTAGAGGCAGGAGTACTCTCTCCTCAGCCGGGATGACCATAAATGTCTCCAGACATTCCCTAATGACCATTGGCTGGGTATGGGGGAGGATTACCCCAGTTGAGAACCACGGACTTAAAGAATGAGTAAGAGGTAGTTAGGTGAGGAAGTGGGGGTGGACACTCCTGAAAGAGGTTACAGCAAGAATAAAGGCAAAGTAGTGGGAAGCAGTATGATAGAGACAAGGATAGGCAGGCAATTTCATGCTACTTGAGGCTAAAGGGCAACTGTGAGTACTAGTTGGTGGTGAAGTAGGAAGAGATCAAATGACGGAGGTCATTAAATGCCATGCTAAGCAGTTAGAGTATTATTTTCATTCAGAGGGGAGGGGATGCAAAAAACTACCATGACATCTGGTAATGACATGATCAGAGGTACATTTTTCAATTGTTACTCTGGTCTCCTTGTGGATAATATATCTGACGAGGACAAATCTGGTTCAGTTAACTTTGCCTTTTTCTATTTTACACATGGGTTATGCCCTCTAAGATGTCTAGAAATGACCAAAAAGTTCTAGAGAAATTGGATGGCTCACTGACAATTCATTTCCATCTCTGGAAGACAGAAATCTCAATGCAACTCTACCAGGTAGTGGGCCAATAATGCCATGCTCCAATATGACGTGCTGGGAAAGCCTTTCCTGCTAAATAACTGCATCAGTTTTATAAGGAAAACAGGCCATGAACAGATAAAGGCAATTATGTAAAATCTCTGTGAAGGACCTACTCTCTCTGTGGCTGTACTTAAAATAAAGAAGGAAAAGTAAAGAACCACACAGATGTGTCCATGAGCATCAACGACCTGGTTTACTTCCAGACTGAACCATCTGAACGATGAGAGCAGCATTTTCATAGGATGGTAGACATTGTTTATTGCCTCCCCTTTGTCCTAACATGCTGATTTTGTGCAGGCAACAATATTATGTCCCTGGCTAACATTAACGTATTTCTTCAGACTCCAGGACAGCTAGAGGTGGCTAAGTGACCCAGGCAAATAAGATGTATGCTGGTGTTGCTGAATGGGGCTTCCTGCTAAGACTCACTGGTAAAGGTAAACATAGAGTTAAATTCAGAATACTCTAATGTTGTAATAGGGGTAGGTAAATCACTTATCATTGTAATATAAAGATATTAAAGTCTGGGAATGGAGGGGAAGTATTAAACAAAACTACAATTACAATAATCTATTAATGGATAGACAAAGTAAAAAGATGTGAATGGTGACATCAAAAACATAAAACGTGCAAGGGAGGAATGTAAAAAATGTAGAGGATTTCTATGCATTCAAAGTTAAGTTATTAGCTGAAAATAGGCTGTTTTAACTATAAGGTGTTTTATGTAAGCCTCATGGTAACCACAAAGCAAAAATCTACAGTAAGTAAGTACACAAAAGATAAAGAAAAAAGGAATCAAAACAGATCACTACAGAGAATCAACTCAAAAAGGAAGAGAGCAAGTGAAAAATAAAGAAACAAAGGAACTACAAAACAGCTAGAACACTATTTTTAAAATGGCAATAGTAAACCTATTTTGTTAGTAATTACTTTAAATATAAATGGATTAAGTTCTCTAATCAAAGACAGAGTAGCCAAATGGATTAGGAAAAAAAAAATAAAAATAAAATAAAAAATCAAGACCCAACTATATACTGGCTATAAGAGACTCCAGTTTTAAGAACTCACATAAGCTTAAAGAGAAGGAATGAAAAGAGATATCCCATGCAAATGAAAACCAAAAGAGAGCAGGGGTATCTATACTTATATTAGACAAAACAGAGTTTAAGCCAAAAACTATAACAAGAGACAAAGAAGGTCATTACATCATTATCTAAAGGGGTCAATTTATCAAGAAAATACAACAATTTTCAATATATTTGACCCATCATTGGACCACCTAAATACATAAAGCAAATATTAACAGGCTTGAAGGGAGAAATAGACAGCAATATGGTAATAGTAAAATACCTCAGTACCCTGCTTTCAACAATGGATAGATCATCCCTACAGAAAATCAGTAGCGAAACACTGGACTTAAACTACATGTTAGACCAGAAGGACCAAAAAGGCATGTATAGAATGTTACATACAACAGCAGCAGAATACATTTGCTCTAGAATAGATCATATATTAGACTGCAAAACTAGTCTTAATAAATTTAAGAAGACTGAAATCATATCAGTCATTGTTTCCACCCACAATGGTATGAAACTAGAAATCAACTGCAAGAAGAAAGCTAGACAATTCAAAATTATGTGGAGATTAAACAAAATGCTCCTGAACAACCAAAAGGTCAATAAAATGTTTTTAAAAATCAAAAATAGATCGAGACAGATGAAAATGAAAACACACCATACCAAAACATACAGGATGCAGCAAAAGCAGTTCTAAGAGACTCATTTGTAGTAATAAATGCCTATGTTAAGAAAAAAGAAGAGGGAGGGTATAGCTCAGCGGCAGAGTGTGTGCTTAGCATGCACAAGGTCCGAGGTCTTGGGTTCAACACCCAGTAAGTCCATTTAAAAAAATAAATAAACCTAACTACCTCCCTCCAACAAAAAAAAAGAAGGAAAAAAAGAAAGATTTCAAATAAACAAATTAAACTTTACATCTCAAAGAACTAGAAACAAAAGAAAATATTAAACCCTAAGTCTGCAGAAGGAACGAAATATCAACAATCAGAGCAGAAAAAAATGAAACAGAGGCTTAAAAAATCAGCCTAAAAATATCAATGATACTAAGAGCTGATTTTTTGAAAAGATAAAAATGACAAACCTTTAGCTAGACTAAGAAAAAGAAGAGAAAACTCAAATCTATAAAATCAGAAATGAAAAAGGAGACATAACTGATAACACAGAAATACATGGATCATAAGAAACTATTACGAATAATTATATGCCATATAATTTCATATATAAATTCATATAATATGTCATATACGTTCTCCTACTAGAAAATAAGTTCCACGAGGTGTAGGATTTTCGTTATCTAGTTTGCACTGAATTTGCAAAATATGTCCTTATCTTGTGCTTGGGCTGTGGAAATGTTCCCAGGCCTCCCTGGGAATCAAGTGATGAAAATAGGCTTCCCCAGGCTCAAGTGAGATGGATTACAAAGCTAAAGCTTCTTTCTGTGATGTTATTGAACAGAAGAATATTTGTAAAAATTCCATACCACATACCTACTCTTCTCCCCACCGCCAAAAAACCCTAAAATACTGTAATTATAAGCACTATTGAGGCTATGTTTCAGGTTAAAAGCACACTAGCTGTCTATTTAGCTTGTGTTTAACTAGAGCTATAATCTGGCTCATGGTATGAAAATTTACATCAGTTTATTCAGATACTTGGTTGCTCAGTTTACCATTACCAAATATCTATGAAAATCAACTAGAAGCCGGAAGCATACCTTTGACTCATTCTCCTTTTTAATTACATTTATGCAGAAAGGCAACTGGGCACATATATTATTCACAGTTTAGAAGATGCCATTTAACAGTATTTACCAAAGGAACAGCATCTGCAAAAAGGATACTTTCATTAAGTATGTGTATATATATAAACATAGGTGCACATTTTCATGTAAAAGGTATAAGGTTATTTATTTATATTTATACACAAATGTGTATGTTTATCCAAAATTAACATGATATATTTATATTACTCCCATTTACATTAAAAATATATATATACATATAAAGTATAATTTATCTGATCTGTCAAGTGCAAAAAGCCCAAAGTAGCAACTGTTAATGCATAACTAAGTATCACTTATTAATCTTTAGACAGTCACTACATTACAAATATAAGTCTTTGCTATGTCACAAGTAGCTGCCATGCTTAAATTGAATGGATTTTTGTAACTCATAAGGAAACGAAGTCTGCAACCTTTAAGGGACAATTTAAATTGCAGTCTTAATCTCTTCTCATATTCCCTCTACCTGTGTATTTGATTTCTTCTTAACATCCTTAGATATTTTCACACTTTAAAAAATAAATTACACCTCTCCGCTAGGGTTGAGAAGATACTCGCTGTTTAGAAAAGGTCAA